TGCAGAATAAATAGTTAACACGCCAGGATTCTCGCAAAGTAAAGTAGCTGAGCCAAATTCAGAAGTAGCAGAAGGTAGTCAGGTTGAAGTAGTAGTTCGCCAGGGACTAAGTAGATACAATTTAAGAAAAAGCCCAAAAAACAGATAATACTTATAATTGCTTCGGCTATCAAATGGATTTAAAATTTAAATTTAATATAAAAAATATATAAAAAAATATATAATATTCCTTTAATTAAACAAATTTCCTAGATTTTCAATAGTTTTGAGATGTGCTTCAACAAAGTACCGGATCCTGAATTATGGAAGAAAGATGAAATGGAAGAAGAAAATATTATTAATGAGGAAGAAGAAGAGCCCAGGAATATTGAAAATGACGAAGAACCAAGGGTCAACATCTTCAGAGATTGGATTGAAGTTGTTGAAGAAGATTGGCCAGAAGAAATGGAAATGAATGAGGTTGACGAAATGGGTAAAGAGGATGAAGGAGAAAAGAAAGAAGAAAATAATGAGGATAAAGAAGAAAAAGACGAAGAGGAAGAAGATGATGATGAAGAGATTGAGCTGGGAATTGAGGTGACAGAAGCTATTTGGAATTGAGGTGACTGAAGCCCATTTTGCAGTGAGAGTTGTTAAAAAGATAAATCTTTCCCAAGTTCAGTCCTTCGGGAATAAAAAGTTTGATTTTTGGAAAATTGTTAAGGTTATTAATGTTCAAAAGCGGAAGAACAGGGATGTTGAGCAGGAACTCGAAGACGCGAAAGATGGCGGTTTTATTGTTTGTCATCCACTAATATTCAAAGGTCTTGAGAGTCGACGTGATTGTTTTGAACAACACTAACCGTCGATGTTGTCAGCCAGAGTACGAATCAAGGTAAACTCCTCCTCGCCTTAATAGCTCGTGAATTTGAAACAGATTTTGATGATGAAGAACCAAATGCCTCGGCAGTCCTCATTGTTCACCCACTAATGAATATGTTAAACGGAAAGCAGCAGGAGACCGCTAATTTCTCTTGGAAGATGATTGCAAGTTTGTTTTCCAATAGGCGCCACCAGGCGTTTGAAAGACTCATTTAGCTTCAGTTATGATGCACTGATGCTTTCCATTTTGAACAATGTGAAGGTGTTGTAGCTGCAGCTAATTTGCCTTTGGCAAAGCTAGCCAAGAAGTTGGAGGAGGTCCTCTGATGTCATGCGATGGCGGATTCCAACGCAATAGCATTTTTCTCTGGCTATTTGATATTCTTGAAACTTGTAGACAGGACAACACTTCTCACTCTTTGTGCAATGATTAACATTCGGCTTCTGCCATTAAATTGATTTCTGCGTTGTACGACAAAATTTCCACCGATATTTCTCTGGCTGTTATTTGTTTATGTACATTTCAGAAAGAGTCTCTCCAGAAAGCGTTTGAGAATTTGGGTCAGAATGTGTTGGTTGTCACAGTTTATGAGTATCAGACCACTGGCGTTGAGTCGTGCTAAGCACGGTCTCTTCGTTATAGCTGACTTTGAAACACTTCGATGTAGAATTATCTGGAATCGGTTCATCTGTTGTGCAACTGAGTTCACTCAAATTGTCGGTCCGGAATATCTTCAAGTCCTCCAGTCGGGTAGTTGTATGCGAGATAGGTTCGGTCAATTGTTGTCTTCGTCGGGTCGGATGGTCGGTGACTTTGTGGATGAGCAGTATCCCCCTCAACACAACAACAACAGCCTTCAACATCTTCATATGGTTTCGGCCGCACTTCTGGATCAACTAATAATTGGAGCAGAAATGATAGGAATTCTAGAGATAATGAGTGGTTTGAAAAAGACTTAAATTTTAATAAAAATAATATAAATACTAATTTATCAAATTACAGGAAAAGACCAGCTCAACGAAACTGGAAAGAATATGCTAATACAACATTTGAGAGGAGCAGGACCAATACATGTTTCAACTGTGGGCGCACTGGACATATTGCTCGAAATTGTAATTGGAATACTTGAAGGAAGAATGAGAGTTGGAGAGGCAGAGGAGGAAAATATTAAATTTGTGTTTTTAATCAATTAAATTTTTTTTGTACTTAAATACACATTCTCACTTCCTATTAATTATTTTAAACTGAATCTTATTCATTAATGTAATGTCATTTACAAATCTTTCCCATTATTTGTTTTGGTTTTATTAATCTTAAATTTTTTTATAACATGCCTTACCTATAATTTCAATTTCTTCACTTAATCAAAATTATTTAAATTTATTAATTCAATTTTAATCATAGTTCATTTATTTATACATTTTAAATGTCAATCAAAATGTTTTCCCAATATTTCTTACCTATTGTTAATATATACTTAAATTTTTTTAAACTTTATGCCAATTTGTATTAATCCACTTATATTACATTTTGTCATTTTTTTTACAAAATTTTTACCCTCACTTAAGTACATTTTATAATTATACTTTTAAGCTTAAACTCCCACTAATTCATTAAATTTAATACATTTATTAGTTTAACATTTTAAATTCTTAAATTGTCAAATTTCATTTAAATTGTTACAAATTTTACAATTATATTTATAGGACTTACAATTGATTTACTCCCTCACAAATTATTTACATTTACTCTATTAATTTTTAAAGAATCTTTCACAATTACATTTAAAAATATCCCAAATTTTTTTTTAAATTACTATTTATGCTCTTCTATTATATAATTCCCAACTTCAAAATTATTGTTTTTGCAAACTTTTAAAATATACCCATTTATACCCACAAATCAAATGTTATTTATGTCAAAACTTTTACATCAATTTTAAATGTTTATTCAAAATACTTAAAACTTTTTCTATTAACCTTTCAACCAAACCACTTATACCCAAATTTATTTTGTACGTTATTTTGAGAATATTCCTTTACCAATTCTCTAAATATTTTCTATTACAAGTTTTACTTTACTCATTTGTACCCAATTTTTTTATCACATTTCAAACACTTCGGTAGTTTTCTGGGTTTTTTAAATTTTATTTCACACAATTGATTTATGAATTTATATTTTTATTCAAAGCGTTACCCGTTTAATTTATTTTATAATTTCACAAACATTTCAATGTCACAATTTATCCTTATTTTTAATTTTTGAAATTTATATGCATTTTTACTCGTACCCATATTTTAATACAAAAGGAAACATACTCACCTGAAACCTGAAGAAATTTTAGGAATACAACCCCAACTAGACTAAACAGACTCTGAAACTCTTACAATTACAATTATATCAAACCCCACTACTTAATAATATCAAGTGAAATTTCTCATGAAATAATCGATAAGCACTAAAAATGGACCAGGGTCGGTCCAAAAAAGGAAAAAGGAGAGATATGCTCGAAGAGCACAAAAAGAAATGTGATAAATAAAGAAGAAATTTAAATTAGGTTCGCCATCTCACCAGAGTGCTTATCGATTGAGAAAATAAATGTGAATGGTCATTATTTAAGTAGTTTGGGAAACGATGAAAAATTAAATTTTGAAAAATAAAATAAAGTCTGTTAAGTCTAGATTAAGACCAGGGACGGTCTTGATGGGAAAGGGACGTGTAAGGGTCAAAGGTATTCTCGGAGTTTGTTTCCTATAGTTTATAGTCATTTTATTATTATTCATTTCCCTCCCACTTTTCTCACACATTTAAAAGGATTTGTAATCACCTTGCAAGTGTCTTATTGTTCATTCACTTTAATGAAATAAATAATGTTTTAATAAAGCTTTTAATATTTGGATTTAATAAATATATAAATTGTGTTCAATTGTGTATGCCTGGTGCAGGAGATCGACCGGGGGCCTGATCAACCCTTTGGTTCCTCTTAGGAAGTCCCGGGCATATCCCCTCCCGTATTCCATCATTCTGGGGTTTGGGCCCACCGCATGGTAATATCTTATTCCGGGGGTCCCACCTCTACTCAAATTAGGCGTATATTTCTTTTTTCCCCTTTTGATCTAATAATCTATATATCCTAAAATCTATACATATGTCCTAAAAATCTCCCAAAATGGAAATATAAATTTCAAATTAAGTTAAGCAAATGAATTTTTTTCTTCCCATCAATTATCTATTTAAAATACGTTTGAGGTGGGAGGCTTTGACCTTCCAATTTCTCAGGCCCAAGAATGTGTCTAAAAATCAACTTCGATTGTATAATTAAAAATCATGGGAAGCTTAATCCAACCCTCAGAAATCTATGATAAATCCATCCTGAACCATCTATTATTTTTATGCTAGAGCCAAAGTCTGCTAGTTTTGAAGTTGTATGTACATTTGTTTTCTTTTCTAACCTCAATATTTTCACTCATTTTTTCCGCAAGACATGGGCCAACACATTTTACAAAATTTTTTCCAAAATTATTGAAAGAGTCGTAATATTGGTAGAATTTATTACAGTATTTCAGGCCATAACCAATTGGATAGCCATTGTCTCCGCATTTTGCTGTCTTCTCGAACTTTAAATAATTATTGCAGACCTCAACATCCTTAACAGAATTGGAGTAATATTGGGGTATTTAATAGAAATAATGTTGGTATTCATCGTAGAGAAAGATCTTCCCTTACCCTTCCAAATCCCTCAAAGTCTTTGCTACTCCCCAACTTTCCTTAATATTTCCAAAATAAATTAGTACCGTATTTACTCGATTAATTCCCCCGGGGAATTATTTTTTCAACCCATCCGTGGCATGGGGAATTATTCGAGGGAGGAGAATTACTCGTGGTAGGGGAATTAATCGAGTAAATACGGTATTTCTTTCAATCACTGTCAGTTTCTCAGACTTTATTTTGAAAATATTCAATCTTGTTTTGCCCCCCCCCCCCCAAATGATTTTAAAATAGATTGGTCATTGTAATAAATACTACACTTTTATTCCACTACTTAGGAGTTAGTCTTATAATGAGCTTCTTATAATCAGTACAGCGACATTTTAGAAATGGTGAAGGCAGACTGGAAATATGTAATAACGAAAAAGTGTCAGAAAATTTTAAGGAGACCTCCATTTACTTCTAAACTTTTAAGATTTCTTTTTAGAACCTTTGGCACACATTTGTCCTTTCCTTCACCGCCCAATGGCATACAAACTTCTCCTTCAGGGCATTCCAAATTCTCACATTTAGTATTGTTATAATTAAAGCCAAGACGCGGAATGCAATCCCCGTGTCCGTCTTTACAACATAAAGGCGGGCCATGTACACAGCAACCTCGGCTTCCATCTTCTATGCAATATCCGCCGTGTTGGTCGTCGCAATGTTCCAACGCGTAAACGAGTAGGGCACTTGAGAAGACAAAAATGATAAAAATGGAGAGAGAAATATTCATCTTGAAAATGTTTGGAAATGAAAGAAGATTTTCTTGAAATTTTAAGGCGTTAAAATCATTGCAAAAGAAGGACAAAAATGAGGAGATATTGAAGAAAAAAGGCAAAAATATAATCAAATTGAGGACGATGAAACTCGAAAAAATGCAACATTTTTCAATAAAATAGGGGCAGGTATTGGGCATTTGAAGAGGAAGGAGAAGAGGTCAGAAATGGGGCAAATGCTCCTCTTGAAAGGCAAAAAGCGGCAAAAAGGTCACTCTGTCCAGAAGTAAGTGATCAAAACTTTTGTTTGAATGAACAAAAAAAATAAAACGCTTTTATGTAAGCATCTTCATTTCTTCTAGATAAATTACTAAGCTACTATGTATTATTCACATTTAACAACCCCCAGTGACAAATAAACGGCCATTAACGTGGCCGTTTATGTGTCACTTTTTATACATTTATTACACATTTTTAACAGTGTAGGAAAACAAAAGGCTTAAAATTAACAATCATTAATAGGCTATAATGTATATCTTTAAATGATCCCTTTAATGATCAAAATCAGATGAATCATTTTATAAGGGTAATAGCGTTTTTAGTAACCTTATCTTCAATTTATTCTTCCATTATTTTTATCTTTAATTAATCTCAAGATGTCGTTAAATAAAGATTTTAGTTCAATTTAAATTTTTTAATTCGAGTTTTTTAAACAAAGTCCGCTTTGCCTAGTCTTGTGACAAATTTAAATATTCTCTCTTTCTGACCATTTTGAACTTTACCACAGGGTAGAGATTTCATTATTTTTCTGCGTGTGGGCATTTTTTCGCTTGCTAGAAAAGAGTTAAAGAGAACACTGTCAGACAGAGAAATGATAATGAATGTGAGTGAGTAATATTTATTTTACACTCTTACACTTTTCTCAAAAATTTTTCTTATTTTATGCAGCGTCTGAAATTTATATTTTCTTTTTGCTTGTATATTTTGCTTTTGATGTAGTCGTCGGTTTAATTACCCAAGTTTGAGGTGCTAGTTACTTCCTACCCTTGAAAAAGTGGTAGATGGGTTAAATTTTGGATTTGCTTTGTTTTAGGGCGAGGCTTAAAAAATGGATATTAGCTTGGCGAGTGTTTTTTGAATAATTTATTCAAGGAGCATTTTACGTACATGACAGAAAATAATATAGAAGTTATTTGTATCACACAATTTTGTTATCATCTAACAATCATCTTCCATAAAAACATTTTCTTTAAATAATTGACATCATTTCCTGCCTCCATCAGCTTAAAATTAAAAATTTTTAGAAAAAAATCATTTGAAAGAAAATCCCTCACATTGGAGTCATCTCTTCCGTAGTCTCTCTCTCAACCAAAATAGATGCTGGAATAAATTCTTCCTGACTTTGACCTTTAGGTTCTAAAGGTATTGGATGAAATGTTTCTGTTAAATATGCAGCTGTCTCCAATTTTTGTTGTTTTTCTTCTTTTCCTCCCTTCTTTTTAGATTTTTCTTTTTTTGGGGGTGGTGATGGCTTTGGGGATGGTAGCAACTTCTTTGGTTGTTTAATATGTGGAGGTGTTGCTGCTGATATTGTTTTTTGTGTTTTCTGGAAAAAATGGGAAAATTAATTGGGAAAATTTATTTGTTTGTCAAAGTACCCTAGAAACCCCCTATAACCACGCTCACTTCCGCAACGCTTTATCTACATATTATGTTAGTCCGGATCCAGACTTAAGGGGTGGGTGTTTATGGCCTGATTTGACTCCATCTTCCACATCACAACCCTTCTCAAATCAAATAATTCGACCTGGAGGTCTCCTTGGCCGAAAATTTTCATTTCTTCCTTGGAAAGATTTTTTGTTTGTCAAATTTACAAAAATATCTGACGCTCTCACATCACTCCCTAGTATGTTAGCTAAAATTCGGTCCCGATGTTTGGTCCATATGGGTATTTTGGTCTGGTTTTGACTCCCAATCCCCCCTCACTTTCCTTTTTACATTAACAAAGTTCGGCCTTGAGGGGAGTTTATTATTTAGCTTTCAACGTGTTTTTTGAGAAAAATCTACAAAATTCCCCTTTTCCCCTACATTCAAAAGGTCTATGTGACACTCAATATTTACTTGTTTGTTAAGCTTTTTGTCTTGTACACCAATTTCTTCAGTATCTTTAACGGCCACAAAACAACAAGTAATTAAAAAGATGAAGAGCAAAATAGCCATAAACAAAGAATAAAAAATAAAAATCCAAAATACCCAAAGATTCTTCCAAATACATTCATCTACAAAATTTGGAAAAATTAGAAAAAATTTTTAATTAATTTACTTGGAATATTATAAGCCACAGTAGTAACTACTTGTTGTAGTAATTGGAATTGTTGCATAGAAAGAAGAGAAATAATTGAAATTGGGAACAAATAATTGTGTAGATATTGGAGGAGAATAAAGGCGGATAATTATTTTGATAAGTCCTTTTATAGTAAAATTAATTTTTGCTGACATTTCAACACGATTTTTACAATTGAATGGACGGAGAGAGACGATTAACAAGAAAATAAGGGTTGTTCCCCGATAAGGAAGGGGGACATGGAATTTCTAAAAAAAAGTCGCTAATTCCCCGACTTCGGGGAGGGGGTATAACCTTGCTAGAGAACATCGAGACAATTTAAAACTAAATAAATATATACATATTAAATAAATATATCCCTATTTTAAATTCCATTTTTACATTTTCCCCTCTATTTTTTCAATTATTTTTATTTTTTACAATTAATTTCACTATAAATCACCTTCACTATATAAAAAACTTTTTAAATAAAAAATAAACACCTTTAAACTTTATTTTATTAAAAATTTTAAACCTCAAATGAGGCATTACAATAGATGTTAGAAGAAATTTTTTTCTCCGTTTAGAATGCTCAAAAATTTTGTTTACCTTCAAAAATTTAAATAAATAATCAAATTTCAAGATTTGAGAAACTTTTCCCCAAAAGAGCATTCCATTAAAGATACACAGAAATATATTATATATTTTACAGCAAATTTTATTAGTGATCAACGGAATATGCTACGGAATATGGTACCGCATGAAATTCCAATCACTACTATTTATATACCGAATATACTTTATTAATTAACCTGGGTAATTATTGTTTCAACCTTTCTCTGGAGGAGGTAAAATTTAATTAATAAAATATTAATTAAAAATAGAGGTGGGGTAATTATTTGAGGGAGAGTAATTAATAAAGTATTGTACGATAAGCTTGTTATTTGTGTTGTTTCCACAAATTTTTGATTTTTAAATAACCTAAAAATAATGACTGGTTATTTGGTAGAAGGTGAATGTTTCTACCAAAGATGTTTTCGAAAGGATGAGGAATTTTTTGAGTAATTTTTGGGAGGTTAAAAATTTTTTTATTTTTCAATTTCTTTTTGAAATCCTTTTTGGAAAGCAATTATTCGTTGGCAAAGTATTTGTGCATCCATTTCTTGTGGATGTGCAGCCATAACTGCAAAAACTGTTGCTTCCGGAAATAATTGGCTTAAATGATATTGTAAATGTTGTCTTTGCTTTTCTAAATTATTATTATTTATTTCTTCTTTATTAAATAAATTTGTTGTTGTTTTTGGACTTAAAGAAAATTCACAACTTCCCCAAATGCTTGTACTTGGGGCAAACATGTGACTAAAATTATTTTGATTTTGATTAATTTCTTTTGTTGTTGTTGAAGTATTTTGTTGTAATGATAGTGGATTTAACTGAAAAAATTAATTATAAATAATGTCAAGAAGGGAAAAGAGAATCTTTCGCTTAAAAATTTTCAAACTTTGAAGCACTATAACCTTTCGATTTAGGGGCCATAAAACCCAAAAATTGACAATAGTTTTGCGACCATGCTCTAAATGATGGTGCAAAAATAAATACAAAATTTTGACATATAGTTTGGAATGTTCCCTTGTAAGTATTTTACTGTTACCTCAAATGTATTTTGCAGGCCGGATAAAGCCAAGATATTGAGTGGGGATTGCGGTGTTATGAACCTTATTTTATCACGATAAATACCAGCTCTGCATTTTATAACCTGTGGACCGGATTGTGATTGTGTAATAGAGCTCTCTATCCCCCTTAATTCCTCCAAATCACCCAAATTTGTAAAAAGATAAAAAAAAGCAACAAATTGTGTTGATCAAAATAGTGATTAGGAAAATTCCCCTAGGGAATTATTTCTTCAACCCCTCCGTGGCATGGGGAATTAATCGAGGGAGGGGAATTAATTGAGTTTTGAAATTTATTGGGGGAGGGGGATTATTGTTTAAACTCAACCGTAGCAGGGGGAATTAATTGAGTAAATACGGTAATTTACTTTATGGGATTAAATTTTCCTAAAAATAAATAAAAATTACATTAATTTCTCCATTAAATTTTGACATTTCTGTTAAATTTAAAGATTTAGTTCTTCCAACATTTGTATGTGAAGGAGGGGGAGACAAATAAGGAGAGGAGGAAGAAGAAACACTTTCGGCAACTAATGATGGCCCTTTTAATTTTTTAAAAATTAATTTTAAAATTTATTTGAATTAATTTTACTTGCTGTTAAATATTGTTTTTTATTTAAATTATTCCCAATTAATTTATCAACAGCTCCAATACGTACACCATTGGGTCGTTCAGGATGAAAATATCTTTATTGAGAAAATGATTTTTAATTTTTAATTAAAAATTATAATTTATGAAATTATTGATTTGGTATAATAATATTCAAAAAGATGTCCCAAAATTTAAAAAATTTCTAAGATCAATATTTCTCAAAAATTAAAAAAATTAAATATTGGAATTAAAAAAAAACTTTTAAACATTTTTTTAATTAGGCATTATTCAGAAAAGTTCCCAGAGAATGTACAAAAACGGAAATAAGATTGATAACAAATTTTCAATATTTTTTAGTATGGGTAAAAATAAAATATGTGAATTAAAGACTGAGGTTTAACTAGAAATGTGGAGTAGGGCTGGATTTTTCGAACCGGGCCGACGTTCGAGTTTTTTTCAAGCCAAAATTTGAGGCCCGATTTGATTTCTCAAACCTAACCGGGCCCCAACCCTAATTCAAAGTTATACCGAACTTTCAATTTTCGAGACTTTCAAAAAATCTCGCTATAAATCTGTTTATTTCATAATTTTACTTTTTATTTAAAATAGGTAAACTCACTTGCATTTATTTCCATAAGTACATTTTTTAGCATAAGGGCAAGGTTGTGAATTAATAGAGGAATGTCCAAAAGTTAATAATTGGTCTAAATTGGGGCCTTGCCTTCCAAGAGGGTCGTCGGGGGGCATAAATCTTTATTTTTAATTTTTTTATTCATTTAACAAAAATTAATTATTTAATTTACTTTCCATCAACAAAGCTATACATTAAAAGATAATTTTCAACGACAGAACGCCATCGGGGATTTTCTTTAACCAAATCTCTATATTCGTCGTTGGAAACAATTACTGCCTTTAAATATTTAAAAATATTTTCTAAATTATTTTTTAAATTATAAGTCAACTTTGGTTATTTGGACCTCGATATAAGATACATTTTTGAAAAACTTTATCTTACAAATAAAGTTATCTTAAGTAAGAGGTATCTGCTTAAGCAACTCCCTTATACAAATAGCCATGGAGGTGGAGGTGCAATGGAGGTGCTAATACTGGGAGTATCTTATAAAGAGGCCTTCTCATATAATGAAGTGTATTTTAAATAGGAGGTGCTTAGGCAGCTTTCCGCTTAATAGCCAACCTTTTAAAGGACGTCTCTTAAATAGAGGTGTATCTTCTCTATGTAGTATTAGGGGTATCTTAGGTCCGACTGTAGTTCCCTCCAAGAGGGGAGGTCTTATAACCAAAGGCATGTAAAACCTGAGTTTAAATATATTTTTTACTTGTTTTTCCGAGGCTGTTTTTAAAATATAACGATCATCGTGACAAACAATTCTCCTTCCACCTCTTAAAAATTTTTTAAATTTTATTTTGTTCAAATTTTTAATTTAACTACATTCTTCTACTTGGTGTCCAAATTAATTTTCCTTCTTTTTCCAATTCATTTAAAATATGCTGATCAATAATTGGAGAATCTGATCTAGATTGTTCTCGACGAAATTGAGGGACAAAAACTAAAATGTCTGTATGTCCACGTTCTGTAAAGTAATTAACACATTCACGAATACCACGACAGGAGAAAAAGGCTTTGTTTCCGTGACTAGAAAAAATTAAAAAAATTATTAAAATTTAAAAGATTGTATGTAGGGTGGCAATTGTGACTGACACCCTCTTAAATTTTTTGTTTTAAAGAAATGTAATGGGCATTGTTTGGAAATTTTGATTTCTTATACTCCTTACAAATATCCTAAAATTTTTGTGTGCGAGCTTTCAAACATCGGATTAAAATAGAAAGCATATGCCAAATTCTTTAATTAATTTTAGGAAATTAAAAATCAGAATTCTCACGTTAATATAGCTCTAGTTAATAAAAAGTCTTATCTTTTCATTATAAAATTGTATATTTTTAATTACAGTCAGACCTCTATTTTACGTACAATTTTTTCGTCTCCAAAGAGTGTAAGTAAAATAAAGATCTGACTATTCTTCCTTTACGTGCTCGAATAACTGCCCCTTCTCAAATAAATGCCATAAATGCCCCTCTCAAATAAGTAACCCCACTAGTGAGAAGTTGAAACAAGAATTACCCAGGGTAGTTATTTTAGCCTTTACAGTACTGAGGGTATATTTAATTAATTTAATTAACTAAAATATTTACGTCATAGCAATATTGCTTCCATCAATAACAATAGGGCGTAATAATTTTAAATAATTATTACAATTATTTTCTATTAATTCTTCTTCCTTTCTTCTTCCTCCCAATTTAATTAATTCCAACAAAACTTTATCGTCCTCCTCTTTTTGTCCATTTTTATTTAATTTATTTAAAACAATTTTTAATTGTTGTTTATCAAACCCCAATCTAATTGCAAATTCTAATAAAGAATCATTTATTTCTTTTTCCTCGGAAAGACTTGAAGGGGGAACAGAAGATAATTCTTCTAAAAAATTTTTTTCAAAAAATTCTTTTGAAGAGGAAGAAGTATTTGAACTGTCGCTAGTTTCTCGTGAAAGTGTGGAATGGTCTGAGGAATAACTCGAATCTACTGAGGTTGTGGTGTCGTTGGATTTTAAATTGAATAGTAAAGGGTGTGAGGATATATGTTGTTGTTGTTGTTGAATTACCTTATTAATTAAATTAAAATAATTTAAATTTTTTAGAAATACAACTAACCCTACTGTAAATTTAGGCTTAAAAAATCGTATACTGAAAGTCCACTAAAATGGAGGTATGCTTAGTAGAGATCGAGATTTTCAAACAATCTTGACCTTGATTCTATGCTTGGTTTTATGCTTCGACCATTGAACTTAATTTTAAGAGAGGACCTTGACCAGGTGAGGACCTCTTGAGTCAATGAAAAATCAAGGAGCGTTGAAAATGCCTTGATCTGGACTCTGGATTCAGGAAAAATCAGGATCTGGATTCAGATCCAGCTCGATTCTAATGCTTAGACATCTACCTCACTTCCCTAACAGCTGCCAACTACATTTAAAAACCCTCAACTAAACTTTGACCGTAGAGATCAGAACAAAAACTGAGCTCAGTCCTGGTCCTTTCCTGTTTTTTTGAAGATACAAGGATGAAACTGTTATCGATAATTCCTAGCTTTCCCGGATCATATCCATCCAATTTTCTTCTAGTTTCATTTTTAAACCTAGGAGTGATATCCATCTATATGTAGTCCTTTCCCGAATTTTTGGCTTTTTTTATTAAAGAATTTCCCTTTTATTTTTATTTCTCCTTCTCCAAAGATTTTTTAAAAAATTATTTAATTAACCAACCACATTTTGAACTCCACTACTTTGCTTTTCAGGAAGCACACGACGCAAAGGAGCATGAAGGTTTCTGGGTGGTTGTGGGGTTGTCATTTTAATTTATTTTTAATTAATTTAATATTGTCAATAAAATACAGAAAATAATTAATTCTTTTCTGATTTTTGATTATTAAATATTTTGTTTAGAAAGGACAAAAATATATTAAATAAAGTATTTATTTAATCCAATATTTTAATTAAAAAAAGGTTTCCTCTAATTTATTAATTTAAAAATATTTATTTTAGCCAGGTAAAAAAAGTAAAAATAAAAAGTGTAAAGCGCCTTCCCAAGGCAACCAAAAGCGTAAAAAATTAGAAGAAAAAAAGCTTAGCTAAAATCTTTTTTTTTAATTTAAAAAGAAGACTGCCTTTAAATAAGGATTTTTATAAGGGATAGACCTTTTAATAATTATTAGAGAATATTTTTACAACTATGTAGAAGCTTAGAGTAGAAAAAAAGGGGGGAGGGGGGGGGGGAGAAATTTTAAAATTAAAAAAAAAATTTTTTTAATGTGCGCACATTTTATATTCTCCAATTAAAGAAAAAATAAATTTAATTGATTTATTTTTAACAAAAAAAATAAAAAAAAAAGTTTAAATGTAAAATTGATTATTCTCGTTGTTTTTTGATTGTCTGCGCAATACATATAATATTTAGGTAGTTTAACAATACTACATTTACCATGTACTTTTAAATAAAAATAAATAAGAAAGAAAACCTTCGAAAAAATATTTTTAAAAAAATTTAACTTTTTTTAAACTTTTTTTTCTATAAATTAAAACAGTCGAAACCTTTCCAGAAAATATTAAGATTAAATGAGATCTTGAGAGCATTAAAAAGGAGAAAGTTTTCCAATGGCTGTTTGCTAGGCTGGGAAGAAATTTCAATTGGCTACCAATATTTAGGTATATCGAGGCTCTTGCCGTTTCCGAAGAGCAGAAATTCATTTTTAAAGTCAGTTCCCCTGATTTATATTAGTCGAACTTTAATAAAATGAACCCTCAATTTAATTACCCCCTTTCGAAAAAAATTTTTTTCTTTGGTAACTTCAAGTTATATTGCAAATTTGGCTGTACCAATTTATTTTGCAAAAGGAAAAAGTTTTCTTTAACTGGAGAAAATACGGAAGAAGTTTTTTCTTTCTAAAAGTAATATTTAGCTAGAGTGTAACTATTTCTGCCGGCATATATTAAAAACTGTTATTTAAAAAATCCTTATTTTTCCCCCTTTCCTCTATTTTTTATCCTTAAAAAGTTAAAGACGTAAAAGAAAGTTAATAATACTTTAAAGGGGAGGGGGAGGATTGCGTAAATTATTTTTTGTTTTTATAGAAAAAAAAAGATTTTTTAATAAAAAAAGAAAAATAAAAATTGTTAGCTTAAATAAAGGTTTCTTTAAGGGAAAAAATAATAAATTTATTAAAATAAAAAAAAATTTTTTTTATTGGAAAAGAAAAGGAAACTGCGCAGACTTTGCCTTATTTTAAAAAACGGAAGTAGAAAGCGGAAGTGAAGAAAGCCTGTCATTGATGCACTACCTATATTTAGTTGACTTTCTATACAACAAACTCGGGACTGCTTAAGTTTGTAACAACGAGATAGATAGCAGGGATGTGCCTAAACAGATTTTAACCAGCGAAAGATGAAACGGCACATCTCTGATAGGTAGATAAAAATTCAGTAGCCTTTTAAAATTCTTTTAGTACTCAGCTTGATATCGAGAGTTTAAAATTATTTATTTACACTCGAGGGCGAAAATAAAGATCCCCGTTACTTTTTAAGAAAGGAGAATATTTCTGTAAATAACGCCCAGTAAGTAAAATGTGTTTATAAGGTCGAAACTATTGTTTGTTATACATAGGGGACATAGGGGATTGTGCCAGGGGATCACTAATTTTTGCACTCGGGTGTGTTTACTTTTTTAATTTTATTTAAAATTTTATTTTAAAAATTTTAAATAAACTTTTAATTTAATTTACTCTAATGTGTCTTTATTAAAAATTTCCATTTAAATTTTCAATAAATTTTATTGAATAATTATCAAAAATGTGTGTAAATGACGTTGCATAAATAATTTACATATTCTCTATAATCCAATCAGAAAAGGTGAAATAATTATTTTATTTATTAAAAATACTTTTATTAATTTCTCCTAATTTATTTTTTATTGTTTAAATTTTATTTTGAAAAATTATAAAAAAATTTTTAAAAATTTTAGAGAATTGGGGTTCCTGCGGAAAAAAATCTTAAAAATAAGAAAAAGGATTTTTCTAGGGTAAAAAGTATGCTAATTACGAAGATTCGTACAAGTAATGAATTTTTCTTTTTCAAAAATTCATTATTCAGTAATTCAAATAGGAGCAACATCCCCTTTAAATTAGTCGAACTTTGACAAAATGAACCCCCAATTTAGTAACCCCCCGAAAAAAAACTTTTTCTTCTTTGGTCACTTTAGGTTCGTTATATTTAAAATTTGGCTGTACCAATTTTGCAAAAAGGAAGAAAGGTTTGTCTTTTACCCTAGAAAAATTCTTTTTCTTATTTTTAAGAAATTTTTCCACATGTACCCCCAATTCTCCAGAATTACCATTTTTTAAATTTAATTAAAAAAATTTTTCAGAGAAAAATTATGGTAGATTATTTACCAACACTAATTTTTCTAACAATTCTTTTTTCTGTTCCTCTACAATTTTATTTGTCTCCAAAATCGTCTTCTGACGCCCAATATTATTTACACAAGTAATTTGGATTTTTTTGAAATTTTTATAAAAATTTTTTTTAAAGATTTGTGGACGAAATTCATCAAATTTACTCAAAAATTATTGGAAAATTTTTTAATCTTTCAAACAAAAAAGTTGGAGAAATGTTTGAGGAAAGTGAACAAATTGGGGACGAAAAAGAAATTATTGGTGAAGAAACTATTAGTAAAGAGGAAATGAGTGGACTGTTTGGAGGTTTTTTTAATAAGAGGGGAGGAGGGTAATATTATCATCCTCACCTCCTTTGTAGAAATTTTTGTTATAAATTACAGTTTGGATACATCCCGCAGACTAATGAGTTTTGCGGATCTTTCATCTTAAAATTCGAAAAAAATTTTCTTCGCCACAGGCTCATTTGGGTCAAAAATCCTGAAATCGAGTTTTTTCGTGAATTTCCTTTTAGAGGTCGGAATTTCGTACCGTATTCCGTACCGTACTACCAATAAGTATCAAAAATACGGCCGTAGACGGTGCGGTTCGATCACTAGCAGTTATTTTATTTTGCACGTCTATGCATTTAAAAACCTTGCTGTATAAAGGGACGATAATATTACCGAAAGAGGAAGTCTGATTAAAAATAAATAAATTTATTTTTAAGGTTCTGACGAGCCTAGACATCCACGTCCCCCACATATAAAATACAAAGTTGGCCAAGTTGTTAAACACAAATTACACAATTATAGAGGAGTTATTGTTGGGTGGGATGAAAAAGTAAAAGCTCCCGATTGGTGGATAAAAAGAGTCCACGGAACAGAAGAAATTGATGAACCCAATTATACAATAATTATTGATACGAGAGGTTTTTTTGAGAAAATTAATTTAAAAAAATTTTTTTACTTTCCCTTTAAAGATCGTTTAGTTCCACAAATTGCCTATGTTTTGGAGAGGAATATTTTGTTGGCTGAGGGAGGTATAGTCCACCCTTTAATTAATCATTATTTTGAATCATTTGATGGGAAATGTTACAAATCGAGACCTTGGCATAAAAATGTTTATCCAAATGATTAAAGGAAAGGAAAGTTTTTTTTGTTAATTTATTTAAACTAGTCTTTTTTGTGGTTGCTTTGCGCCTTTTAAAAAGGACGCAAAGCAACACATTATTAAAGCATTTATTGAAAAGGGGATATTTTAACTTATCATTTAGAAGGTCATTTAATTCCTAAAGCCATGCAAAAAGCGATGCTGTGTAATGGATGTAAGCAGGCCCGTAACCAGGATTTTTTCGGGGGAAAATTTTTCTGCGCTGAATTTTTGGCGCCGAAAGCGAAAATTTTGAGAGTTTTACCCACTGGTTACGGGCCTGGATGTAGGATTTTAGTCAAATAAAGGTTGCTGGTTCGCCCCAACCGCCTAAATAACCTTCTGTATTAACTGAGGAAAAAAATAGTTTATAGCCTCGTTTATATAGTTTATAGCCTCGTTCAGCTTGATTTTTGCTGGAATAAATTACCCCTTTTAAATAAATGCTCATTTTTTCTTTTTTTATACTCGGTTCTACATATTTAAATTATTTAAAATTATATGTCTTTATTTATTCTAGATTTTCTATATTTATTTTCTACCCAAAATATTTTTTTCAAAACATTTGTATATATTTTATTTATTTTTTATTTAATTCTTTAGACTGTTTTAGGTCTTCTTTTAGATTATTTTAAAAGTTCAAAATTCCTTTATGTAAAAAATTATATTTTTTTAAAAATCCCTACCCAACGGGTATTTTAAAATGTCAACAAATTTTTTGGGGTTTTCATTTCTTTTTTAAATTTGCCTTATTTTAAAATTGTATAGAATTATATTGAATTTTTCTTTGGATAAAATATTCAATTTTTTAAATTAAAATTTTATTTATAGTAGTTAACCCCCTCCCTTTTTTTTAAAAGGCTCCCTTAGATTCCTTTCTATATGCTGCAATAATACCAAAAGACGTATTACCAACCCCAAAAGCCTCCGAAATACCAAACTGTAGGTCATCTTCGACAACGCCGATGCGAAAACTTTTGTCGTTTGGCATTACGACCAGGGCTGTCCGCAATTGCGTGGTTTTTTGGACTGCGGATTTTAAAATCAAAATTGCGGCTGAGGAAAATATTTTTCACTTGCGGACAGCCCTGATTACGGCACGTTACGCTTTGCGCCAATGCTGATTTATTAGAGAAATTCGACTGTCTAAAAATTATTTTAAGAAAACCTGTCAATTATTTATTGAAATAAACAAAATAAAACAATTAGGGATTTTTAATTCTAATGTGTAGCTGTCGAAGAATTTTGACTTTGTTTTAATTTACGCGCTTCCGCCATTCTCTTTTTTCGTTCAGCCATTACTTTTCGACGTCTTTTTGTAAGGTCAGCTTTCACATAAATAAAACCTATAACACCCAAAGCCATAGCTACCAAAATAAATTTGATTAACTAGAAAAAATAAGAATGTAATGGGGTTTTAAAATTTTAAAGTTAGCCAAAATTAATAAAACAACTGGGCCCGTAGTATAAGAACTCGGTTACTGGTTAGGTAACCGTCGTTAGGTGACCGAGTTCTTATACTATGGACCCTGAAGGTTCCAAGTGCTTATTGTTAGATTCAGAAGAGATGGTCCTACCCTTGTTTCAGAATAAAAAATGTTAAGGAATCCAATTTTGAAACTTCCAAACAAAAACTTCATAGGTCCCATGCGTTAACTCATTCCATGAGGAGCATAAGCTGAACAAGGTCCGAAGAGGATTTCCCGTTTAACATTGGAAGAATAAAATTATTATCCAACAATGAGTCAGGAAACCCCTCACTTTTAAAAATAAAAATTCCTTAAAATAACCTTCCACATTTCCTTGTCAACTTCATACAATTCCCTATATTCTCCAGCATATAAAAATGTATTTTTCCCACCAGCGATTTTCTCCTTAATTTTTAAAATATCTTTTAAAAATATTAAAAATAAAAAAACCTCATCATACATAATCCCTTTAGCTCTCCTTTCTGCCCTTTCTTCATCCTCCCTCGCTTTTTTAGACATTCTTCTTTCTTCAAGTAATGCCATTCCTTCTATAGCATCATCCCCAACTTTGGCCAAATCTATATAACGAAAAGTCCTTCCTTTTGTGTAATAACTATTTGAATATTTTGAAAAAACAATTAATTTGGGAATTTTTTGACAGAAACCAAATTTTGTATTTATTAAATTCATCTGTAAATAAAATGATTAAATTTTAAAAAATTAATAAGAAAATTTATATATGGAAAATAACATTTATAGATAATGAATTTACTGTTTAATATTTTTATATAAAAATCTATAACTGTGCACATATATTTAAAAATAGAAATATAGAATAAATATATTAGATAAAAAATAATTAATTGTTGGATCTATCAGATACACCTTCGGGACTTAAGATTCCGAGTTCTTGGTTTAAATTAAAAGTAGCCCAACCATATGCTTGGGCTGTGTCAGCTTAATGATTTTATAAAGTTGGAAAATAAAGTTGGAAAAAATAAGGTTGGACCTCATTTTAAATACCTGCAGAATTCACTGCATTAGACTCCTTAAGCTAAAATAATCATACCCCCCACCAAGGAGGTGTAACTTAAATATGGGACATCGACTAGAAAGCTCCTTGGGGCCTAGAAAACTCCCCACCAAGAGGCCAACCAAATTTAAAAAAATGTATCTTAAATGCGGGCATAAATAATATTTGATGTATCTAAAGATGAGGTTAGATTGTTATTTAACAATTATAGAATATATTAAAATCCAAAATATACAAAAATAAACCTAATATTTAATTAACTTTTTAATTGCTTCCAAACATCTCCATTTTGTTGGAAGATAAAAAGGTTCATAAACATGAGGGAAAGGAGTGTCCCAACCACAAATTCTTTCAATTGGTGCTTCAAGATTAAGAAAACATTCCTTTTGGATAGTTGCTGCCATTTCTGCCCCAAATCCACAAGTTTTTGGGGCCTCGTGAGAAATTAGTAAATGGCCAGTTTTTGTTACACTCTTGAAAAATTAACGAAAAATTAAAAAATATTTTTAAAAACCTTTGCAACAGTTTCAACGTCCCAAGGAATTATTGTTTGAAGATCAATAACTTCACATAAAATACCCAAATCTTTTTCGGCCAAATCAGCAGTTTCCATAAGAACGTGAAGTTGAGTACCCCAACCAACAAGGGTTACGTCTTTACCTAAAAATATTTTTTCTAACTTTCCAAAAGTATTAAGAAAACCTTCTCTAACAATCTCAGCTTTCCCCAAAGGCAAAATATATTTTCCAATGGGGACATCTTCAACTGCATTTCTAAAAAAATTAATTGAAAAAATTTTAAATTAAATAGAAAAACCTGTAAAGAATCTTTGGTTCGAAAAAAATACAAGGATCTGGATCTGCAATACAAGAAAGAAGAAGTCCTTTTGCCTGAGAAGGTCCTCTAGGAATTACAATCTAAAGAAAATTTTTTTAAATTAAAATTTTTTTTGATGTTTGAAAGTTGTACTAATGCTGATCTTTTAGAAAAACAAATCAACATTTAAGCTATCAATCATTTTATTTATGCCATTTATTTAGCTACAATTCGATTATCATTTTACGAATTATAGAGTAAGAAAAAACAAAAATGGCTAATTTCTGAACTAATTTAGGCAATGTTGTTTTAACTCTCTTTTCCCTTCTATCGATACCCTTTATTTTACTTAAAGGGCACTCCTGCCGTTGGGGGAGGCCTCTTACCATTATAAGACTAACGTGAATTTTTCATTTTTCTATGTCGGGAGTCAAAAGATTTGATTAACTTCAGCAATAAGGACCTATGTCAAAAAAATCTGATTTACAAAAAGACATAATGGTAAAAAACTGCGGCCCCAAACGGCAGAAGTGCCAAGAAAAGATTAGGTATGAATGAGAAAGCTGAAATTATTCACGGGAAACAAAAATGTGAAACCTGGGGTGTATTGGGCAAAGTAAAAGCAAATTAAAGGATAAAAGGAATCAAACCAAACCCTTACCTATTTTCTAAATTAAAATAAAAAAAGAGTTACTTTCAAACCAGGTGTATGACTAAAATAAGCTTCAGGTGATTGAGAATGGTATAATGCCCCATGTCCAACAGCACCCCAAGTTGCTCTAATTGTTAATTTTCCACAGTTAAATTGATTCCCGCTTCGGTAACGATATTTTGCTGCTTCATTTACAATCTATTAAAAACCAAAAAATATTAACAAAAATTATTTAAAGTCTAATAATGTAGTAAAATCGACACAAGTTTTCTTGAAATTTTCATAAAATTCTTTTAGTGATAAAAAATCGTGCCCCTAACAAATCTCTAATTTTAATAGTAATCAGACATTTTTGAGACTATGGATGCCAGAACTCATGACTTTAATGAACTAAAGTGACCACGAAAAATCCTGCGAAATGCCTCAGGGATTTCCTTTTTAAGACTATGGAAACCATAATTCATGAATTTCTTCAACCAAAATGACCACAGAAAATTCTGCAAAATCCCTCCGGGATTTCCTAACCCCCTACAAACAACATATAAAAAACTAACTTAACACACCAGCATAAATTAATTTTAACAATAACAAACTTGATCAAAAGCCGGGAATATATAATCAGCAAATTGTATTTCTGCAATAGCATTACTACCAGTAACGGCCAATCCAATTCCAAATCCAACAATTCCTTGTTCACATAATGGAGTATTAAATACCCTTTCTTTGCCTAAAAAAAATCTTCTAATTTAAAAAACCTTCCAATAATTTTTCACCAAATTTATTTTGCAATCCAACAGAGCATCTAAAAACACCCCCAAAAGCAACATCTTCGCCTTAAAAAATGAACATCGTACCCTCCCCCTTCTTTACTTTCACGAGTGAAAAAATTGTCAGACTTAAAATGTGTTACAAACCTTTCTTTATGGCCATAGGTAACCAGCTCTGATTTTTCGAATCAATATCCGGTATTCCCATAAAAGATTTTACTGGAATAAATTGAACTTGTTACAAATAGAAGTAGTTGTACACGCGCACAGTACCGGACCATTGATTCTAAAAAACATAAGAGGTGGGTACTTAACTCCATAGACAAGGTCTGACACATTTTAAGTCTCCCACTACTTTCTGTTTGAAGGAAAGAAAAGAGGAGCGAAGTTTAATTTTATCAATAAATTTTTATAAATTTTTTAAATTAAAACTTACCGAAGCAAACAGAATTTGGATCTTCTTCCAAAGCAATATTTAAAGCCTGATTAATTGCTTGACATAAATTTATTTTCTCTTTATTTTCTTTAAAAAGACAACTAATTTTAATTTTTAAAAATAAATAAACCTTCATTTAAATTTTTTGTTGGATAAAAATTAAAATGTGAAGCAGATTTAATTTGTTCAAATAAAAAATTATTTTTAATTGTTAATCCTTTAAGTAATTTATTTAAAGTATTCATTTACAAAATTAATTAAATAATGAACAAATGCTTATGACAACACACGAAAAATTTTAATTGATCATTTTACCCTTTTAATCAATTAATCTTAAAATTTAGGGACACGCCCGAATAGTCGCGGGCCGAATAGTCGCGGCCGAAAAGTCGCGACCGAATAGTCGCCGACCGAATAGTCGCGGGGCCATATAGTCGCCGGCCGAATAGTCGCCAATCTTTTAAATATCGGGATCCCGTCCCCTGCGCGGGACGGGATCCCGACGGGATTTTCGGGGATTACGATCCCGAAATCACGGATTTTTTTTGAATTTCGGGATCATTCGGGTGCCGGATTTTCCCGAAATGCCGGATTTTTTGAATTTCGGGATCCGGGATTTTTCCCCGTCGTTGGAACAATTTCCCCCGTTGACGGGACAACTTCCCCCGTTGACGGAACAATATCCTCCGTCACTGAATCAACATCCCCCGTTCCCGGGACAACTTCCCCCGTTGACGGACCAACTTCCCCGTCATTGGAACAACTTCTCCCGTCATTGGAACGACATCCCCAGTCATTGGAACAACACTTTGGTATTCTAGACATTTTTGGAGGTTTGGCATTACAAGTTTTTTGCATTATAAGCTGTTGTATTTCAAGCTTTTGGCATTATAACATCATACCTTTAATTAAAAGCTTGGCGACTATTCGGCCGGCGACTATATGGCCCCGCGACTATTCGGCCGGCGACTATTCGGTCGCGACTTTTCGGTCGCGACTATTCGGCCCGCGACTATTCGGGCTGTACCCTAAAATTTAGTGTTTCATTGAAATTTCAAAGACGATTTATCTAAACGACAAATGGCATAAACATGTAAAATAGGACAATTGATCAAAGCCCGTAAAATGTACAACTGGCCAAAAAGACAATTGACGGTAACTCTATTGTGCCGGCTGTCTGTTTGATAAATGTTTTTGGCAATCCCGGAGAACTGGGATCCCTGCGAAAAAAAGTTTAAAAATAAGAGAAATGATGTTTCCCACTGTTGGCAGCTTGTTACTTTGAATTGTTTAAAATTTTTTGCATTTTTTATTGTCGCAAATAAAACATTAGATGAAATGCCATATTTCCAGTAGTTGACATTTTTAAATTAGATATTTTGTGATATTCGCTATGATAAAAAATAGAGCTAGGAACGGGTCCGGGACCCGGTTTCCGGGTCCCTTTTCCCGGTTTTTTTGAAGCAACCGGGTTGAAACCGGGGACGGGTTTTCCCGGTTTCCCGACCCGGAACCCGGCCGGTCCATTTTTCAGAACCCGTTACCCGGACCCGGTCCCGGCTTTTTTTTCACCTGGAAACCGGGAAAAATATTTAGTATATTTTCGTACTTCGATATTAAATTTTTGAAGGAAAAGGGAAAGGAATATTTATAATTTCCAATATTTCCCTTTATTGGTCGATGATTGAGTGGTTAAATTGACTGACTTCACTCATCTAGTCAATTTATGGGGATGGGGTTCGAATCCATGTATGGAAGTGGGGCTGAGAAAATTTTCTTTTTAAAAAAATAATTTTAAACTTTTATTTTGATTTTAAATTTGCAAATTTATTTTTTTTTAAGATTTTACTTGAAAAAATATTAGAAATTTTAATTTAATCATGAATTTTCCAAAATTTTCGCTTGTGCGCAGAAAATTTAAGAGTTCTGGCTTCATTACCATCTAAACTTCGAAAATCGTATAGGAGGATAGTTGAAAAATACAGCCCCATTTCAACAAATAAAAAAACCCGGTTTCCCGGCCGGGACCCGCCCATTTCTAGACCGGGTTGAAACCGGGAACGGGTTTTCCCGGTTTCCCGGACCCGGAACCCGGCCGGTCCATTTTTCAGAACCCGTTACCCGGACCCGGTCCCGGTTTTTTCAAAATTCCTAGCTCTAATAAAAAATTAAAATGTCAGAATTCGGGTTCGTTCGAATTTTTCAAAATCCGAGCTCAGATTCGTAATCAGCACATTTTTTACTCTAGAAACATTTTTCATCTATTTTTAAACTTTTTCGCAGGGACCCCAATTCTCCGGATTTGAATAAAATGAAAAGCGTTTTCTAAGCTAAATTTTAATTTTAAGAAAATTCTTACACAAAAAAGCAATGGAATTTGACGATTTTGGAGATTTATTTGGAGATGAAGTACTCGAAATGGAAGAAAAAGACGTTGAGAAAGATGAAATTGAACAAGGTTATTTTTATTTTGAATATAATCTAAAAATTTATTTTTTTGAAGAAAAAAGTACTCAAAAAGCAAAGGATTTGGAAAATGTTTGGGAAAAACAGAAGAAGAAACAAATTCAAAAAAAAATTATGCCTCAACCAAGATTGTCTGAAAGAGAGTTAACGGCCCTTCGAAAGGCGACAACAAGCTCGAGATCTGCTTCGCGGTGGCTCCTCCAGATGCTGGGTACGCTTTTAAAATCATTCCTCTAATCAAAAACTTTTTTTAAAGGTCCGCTTCGCCTTCAAGCTCAAGTCCAGCAATAACGAGCACTACCGAGTCAACCCAGTTTTCGGATTCGTGGAGCCCGGCGCCGCAGCGGAAGTCGAAGTCTTCCGTTATCCTGGACCTCAATAAGGCGACGACAAGCTCGAGATCTGCTTCGCTGAGGCTGCTTTGGACACGGCAGCAGCAAAAACATCTTCCCTACTTGATCTTCTGGCGAGTTCAAGGTCGACGTTCCTGTGGCTGCCGTTTGGCCCTTCGAGCAGGAGGTTTATTTTGGACCGCCGAGCGAGGTCCAAGTGAAGCCTGCGGCTATCCAGGTCCCAGCTTCGGGAGGCAGCGTCTCGCTCCAGCTGATGAACTATAACCCTGAGGTATTTTCTTTTTCTCTCATATAAATCTTCCTTTCTGTCTTTTCTCATCTAGTAAAAAACATTTTTTTCCCTTATAGGTCCGCTTCGCCTCAAGCTCAAGTCCATCAACAACGATCACTACCGAGTCAACCCCGTCTTCGGATTCGTGGAGCCCGGCGCTGCAGAGGTAGATGTGTTCCGCTACCCCGGCCCTCCAAAAGGTGATGACAAGCTCGAGATCTGCTTTGCTGAGGCTGCTGTGGACACTGCAGCCGCTAAGGCCGTCTTCCCTCCTGGATCTTCTGGCGAGTTCAAGATCGACATTCCTGTGGCTGCTGTTTGGCCCTACGAACAGGAGACTTATTTTGGACCTCCTAGCGAGGTCCAAGTCAAGCCAGCTGCTATCCAGGTTCCAATTTCGGGAGGCAGCGTCTCGCTTCAGCTGATGAACAGCAACAATGAGGTAAAAAATTTATTTTTCTAAAATAATCCTAATAACATAATATTCTTTTTTTAAAGGTCCGCTTCGCCTTCAAGCTCAAGACCAGCAACAACGAGTACTACCGCGTCAGCTCTGTGTACGGATTCGTCGACCCCGGCGCTGCTGTCCAAGTCGAAGATATCCGCCAGGACGGCCCTCCAGAAGACGACAAGCTCGAGATCTGCTTCGCTGGGGCTCCACCAGATGCTGGGGACGCCAAGGCCATCTTCTCTCCTGGATCTTCTGGCGAGTTCAAGATCCCAGTGGGTTTGGAGGCCCACTGGACGCCTCACATGCCGGAGCAGTACTGATGCGCCCCTTGGCGCCTTCAAGTCGAGCCAGCTGCTATTCAGGTTCCTACTGCTGGAGGCAATGTCTTGCTTCAGCTGATGAACGGTAACTCTTAGGTACTTTTCTTTTTTTCTAAAATACTCCTAATATAAAATTTCGGTAATCTTTATTTTACTGGTCCCAAAAAAAAATTAGGAAGAAGTACTGTTTCGATATTTTTGAGAGTTGTCGGTAGGTAATCGAGTATGATGAGTCCGAATCTGAGCTTAGAAAATGTTAATTTCGAATACCGGACCCGGATTCGACCAAGTCGAATTCGGGGTAAACACTTTGAAATAAAAATTTAGGCTTCTGACACGACTATTCGAGTAGAATGATATCAAAATTATGATGTTTCGACAACTTTAGACGAAGTTTGATCAATTAAAGACTCGCTTGGTGAGACTTCCGTATGCAAATCAGACACCATAACTTTGTCTAAAGTTGTCGAAACATAATAATTTTGATACCATTCACTCAGCTCAAAGAGTGGAGTTGAAATAGCTACAAAATTAAAAATATTTTCTAAATTAAATTTCAGAATAACCCAATCAATTCAAAACAAACTCATAAAAAGGGACAAACGATGAGCAAAAAATTGATTGAATCTAGTGACAAAGACAACGATGATTTGGATAAATATTTGGATTCTTTAAAAACTCAACAAAGCAATCAACAAAAGGATGAGGAAATGATAGAAAAAGATTCTGATGAAAATTCTGAAATTATGCAAACAAAAAAGAAGGTAAAGTAAAGGAAAGTAATTGATGAAGACGAAGAAAAAAATTTAAATTAATTTATTAACAAAAATTTGTAAATATTTTTTTCTGAAAAATCAACTTTAGCCAAACAAAAGTTTAAAAATAACTGCAATGATATTTAGGAAGATAAGTGGAACTGAAAATTAAAAAAAAAATTTTTTAATTAAAAAATACGTTAATGGTAATTTTGAATTTCGTTTCTCTCCCTCTTTTTCTTCTTTTTTCTCTCCGAAATTTTATTTTTATTAAAGTATTGAGAATTTAATGCGACAGATGATCTATCTTTTCTTTCCGTGCGAAAAGTGCGGAGATGTTCAGAGACAATTTTCTCAAAGGTTTGGGAAATTCTTGTCATTAACGGATCCAAATCTTTCCTGGATCTTGAATTATTTTACGCTTTCCCTTCATCTCTTACATTTTAAGTTTCAAATTATATCTATTCTTTTTTGACTTGTCAAAAATGTGAGATTGAAGGAAAGGAAACTAACTAGAAAAAAATTATTTTGGTATTTCCCACCAACCAAATCTATGGTATTTAAAAATCAACATGATTATTTACGATTTATTTGTACAAATATAATACATACACAACACACAAAAAGGGGGATTTTTTACAATGGGTGTATTTTTATTTTTTATCACAAGTTTCATCCATTCTTTTGATCCTGACCAAAATCGACTTTCGCTCCTCTGAAGAATTTTGGTTTCCATTTCTCGATGTTGACGCTGCTGATGCAACTTCCACAGATTCCTCATATACACAGCGAAGGTTTACAACATTTTGGCCTACAATATCATCCTCATTTTCTTCATTCCTCCTCCCAACTCCTCTAATATTTCCGCCCCCTTCCGCCCGTCCGATATGGATTCCAAAATGTTGTTGCAGAATTGTAGCAGCCAAATTCTATAAAAAAGATGAGATTTTTACTTATATAAAGTAAGAATTTCAACTTACAGAAGCAGGATCAACTTCATTTAAAGTTGAGTTGTTGAACGCAATTTTAGCAATTTGTTCTACCAAGCCAACGCGTCGGAACAATGCAATAGTGTATAAACGATTTCGGGATCTGTCTTGGAGTGAATGCTGTGTTGTGTTCTTGAAACAAAAAAGGATGTTATTTAAAGTAAAAAATCGAAAAAACTAACCAAAGTGCGCTCAAGCAGTGCCGCGTCCAAATTTTCTTCAAGCAGCTGCACTAGAATTTGTGCAAGACCTCCACTCATCAAATATTCATAAAGAGACGGCGGCGCTCCCATCATCGCATTTACAACAACCCAATAGGCTTCCTTTAATTTAAAAAATTAGTTCACTTAAAAAGACTTGAAACCAACTTTTCGCTTTCTTGGACTCTGATCGTAGGCAAGTTGAAAAACGCTTTGTGCCATTCCATCAACTGAGAAAAGGCGAGTGACATGTTCTGAAGTGCCGGCAGCGATGTTGCTGAGGATCCAAAGGCATTCCCGCGAAATTTGATGGACGTTGGAGTTGACTAGATCACTCTTAAAGATAAATAATTTAATCAAAAAATCATTTTTGAAAATATTTTACCAAATCTTCCAGGACGCCAAGGTCAAGAATTGCAGTGGTTTGCTCATCTGTTCCGGTGATGATGTTTCCAACAGTGCGAAGAGCACCAGTGAGCGCACGAAGAGAATCCGACTTGAGTAGATTGACAATACTTGCAGCTAGGCCTGGTTGAGCAAACAAAAGGTCGATCTGCAAAAGAAGGGGAGATTAGTGGGAATTAATCATTCAAAGAGAGATTTACTAAACTCTTTCTCCTTCAATTGTTGCGTGGTCGATGAGATATGCAATACACCAAACAGCATCACAGAGAATTTCGCCTGTATCGTAGAGGGATAGAGTCACATGAAGTGAAGAGAGAAGTCGGCCGACACTCTGAAAAGTAATGAAAGTTTTGTTTTCTTAAACAAAAACCAATCAAACTCACATCAAGCTCAATGTCATTCATTCCCCCACGAAGCAAATTAGCCAAGCACCAAATAACAATTTTGCGAGGATCGTGTGCCTGATAGTCGGGCATTTCCAGCATTACAATTAATAAGGCCAAAAGTCCCGAAGCTCGCACTTGTTGTCGACACGAGGCACAATCTGCTGCCAAATTTCCTAGTGCCCAAATAGCCTGATCCCGAATTTCTCCCACTGTCGTCGACGCAACGTGAACAAGCGCATCAGTGCCCCCACTAGCAATGATCCTATGCGTTTCTTGACGAGAGCCACAGGCCAAATTTGTCAGAGCCCAAGAAGCGTTCAACTGAAGTTCGTTTGAAGGACGACGGAGGCAGTTAATGAGCTCAAGAATCTGAAAAGTCGGGAGGATTAGAACTCGTTAATGTGCTTTATCACAAACTCACAATTGTTTCAACCAACTCTTCAGGAGGCTCCTGGCACGCTGCGAGTTTTTTTCTGAAGTAGAGGGAAGCAGCGACCTAAATACAATGAAAGGAATGGAACAACCATTAAAAAAGGCGTCAAAGTACCTGTGATTCCTTAGACCGAGTTGAAAGTAGAAGATCGAGAAAAGTGGCGCATTCCTTTGCACAAAAGAGTGGAGTCTTCTTCAGCATTGACATCTCTTCTTGTGAAAACCAGAAACGCCGGTTATCCGCTGAATGTTTGTGCTATGAGACGATAATATGCGAAAAGAGTAACATTCTAGTAAAGCTTTTATAGTAAAAAGTAGGGTTGGACACACCGGTTATTAACTGTTACCAGTTTTCGGTAATACCGGTTTTATTTTGGGGGGAATTTTTAATAAAATCACTCATTTTCGAAATTTTAGGTTTTTAAAATTTTATAAAAACGGTGACCTTTTGTCAAAAATATCAAAAATTCCGGTTTTAAAACCGGTCGTGTCCAACCCTAGTAAAAAGTATCAATTAGAAAAAAAATGAGAATATAGTACAGAATAATATAAGGAAAGTTTCGAAACAAACGAGTTCGAATAAGAAAAGTATTGCTCTTAAAGCTTTGACAGATGAGAACAGAAAACAACGTGGCAAATTCCAGACCTGCTCATGGACGCGGATATAGATACAGATAGTATCAAGAAGCCTGCGGATATCCGCCGTAGATATCCGAATACCAAAATCAGTATCCGTGAACAGGTCTGGAAAAAACAGAAGGAAGTTTGAGCAAATGAAACAAATAAAAAAATAAATCGAGTTAATTAAACTTGTAAAGAAAACAATAACCAACAAAATATTTATTTTACAAATAAATATTAAATTTAATAAATATACAACATACCGTATTTACTCTAATAATCCCCCAGTCCTTTATTAATTCCCCAGTCTCTATTAATTCCCCACTCTAGAGATGGGTTGAAAAATAATCCCCCTTCTTTCTACCCCACTCTATTAATTCAGCAGTCTCTATTAATTCCCCACTCTAGAAATGGGTTGAAACAATAATCCCCCTGGGGGATTACTAGAGAAAATACGGTATACATGTATAATACAAAAAAAATAATAATTAGGTTAATTATATTCGACTTTTAAGAATTTTAACTAGTTTATCTACATCTTTCCTTGCTGCATACATTGCAACTTCAACATCCAAAGCATTTTAAGAATACAGGCATCATCGACTTCGTTTATACGCTAAAAAAAGTTGAATAAAATTAACAAATTCAGGTAAAATTTTCAAATTCCTCACCACATCATCACTCAAACGCGGAGAGAAGCGAAAGAAGGGGACGCCTAAAGCAGCACAGAAAGCACTTCCTGTGCCAATTGATATAACACAATGTGGATTAGGCAATTTAAAATAAGGACGGAGTTTTACAAATTCTGTGAGCAATTCCATTGTTGGATTGTTGCAAATAACGCCTCCATCGACGTAAATGTCGTCAAACGGTGGAAAATATGTTGGAGCGGCGCTAAAAATTGAAGCAAATTAAAGGCACACCTTGTTATAAAATCCAATTTTTTCAGTCTCAAGGGTGCACCTTATAATGAGGTTTGATTAGAGACCGAACTGGTATTTCGAAAAATATCGCCACGGGCGTGGGAAGATTTAATAAAAGTCTCAAATTCCCGCAACTTACGGGGACGGGGTACAATCTTTCTCAAGAGTGGACCTTATAATGAGATTTGACTAGAGACTGAACTTGTATCTCGAAAAATATCAATCCTTGATAACCGATCTTCGTTCGAGATCTCGTCTCGATTTCTAATTTACCCTCCAAAATTATTTCAACCCAATTTGAAATTAAGAAATCACCTTGAACAACGAGCTGCTTTCCATATAGTAGTCACATTTCTGTCAACATATCCCATCTATTAATTGCTTGAAATTATTTTAAAAAATTGTTCAAAAAATTACCTCTTCCATCTTGTCCTCCCCTTTTGTAAGTTCCTCTGGGAGTTGATAGCTGCGAAAGAGAACCAATGAAGGAGGTGCAATATTCATTTTAGCAGAGGTTAATAATAATTTTGGCTTTTCGATTGAAGAAATAAAATCTGTGGACAATGTCTGAATTAATATTCGTTCCAACACCACAGGATTTATGGTCGAGATCCTCTAAAGACAATATTCTTTAATTGTAAATAAAGCTTTTGACAATCCGTTAATGATTTTCCTAAAATTAAGCTTTTTTAGAGTTGAAAAGAAGGATGACCTTTAGCAAGCGCACAAGCGAGAATTGCCCCAGTACTTGTACCTAAAATTATTTAAATTTCTATTGACTAAAATGTTACAATTTACATACCAGCAACCCAGTCGATTAGAGGCCATAAATCTTTGCCCAAATTTCTCTCGATAATCAAAAGCACCTAAATTTTAAAAATAATTTATGCGTTATAAGACGTTAAAACCCTTATTAGCACAAGTTCTTTAATTCCACCCCCATCAAGAGAGAGAAGAATTGGAGGCTTGGTTCTTTCATCATTATTCGGCAACTTTTCTTCTTCATTCTCTCCTTCATCGTCAGAGTCTTCTTTATCCTTTTTACAATGAATATCGATAAAAAGTTGAATACATTTGCGTATTCTTGAAGAATAACTGCCTGCTAATTGTAACGGTTGATCTCCATTATTGTTCCGTCCAGTCAACATTTGCTCATTTGCGTAAAGGAGAAGGACTGCTATAAGGTTTGTCTTAATTATAAAACATGTTAAGAAAGGATTATCTGGTTTTACTAGAGAGAAAAAAAATTTAGACACCGAACAAGCATCGAACTTGTGACCTCCCAGGAGCAGGCCAATGTACCGCAGAGCTATAACATCTTTTAAAGTGGTCGTATCCGGGATGCTTTGGTATGGTTCAATGCGTCTTGGAGAGCTGAATCGAACCATACTAGGGCGTCCTGGATCCGACCACTTTAAACGAAGTTATAGCTCTGCGGTACATTGGGCTTGCGGTACATTTAAGTTTACCCAACCTCTCGGTAGTCTAATAAAACCGAAAAAACACACCCTAACAGCAAGATGTAGGGGATTTTCTCCATTGCTTGGATCTATTACAGCATCTGCATTGACACCTCTAATATAGCAATTAACAATTGATCGTAGAGATGAGCGTTTTATAGCCAAAATTAATTGTTCTTCCATCGATAAATTCTTCTCTTCAATTTTTGTAAGCCTAGGAATTGAATGGCCATTTTTATCTTCACAACAATTTATTGAACAACAACTGCCTGAACAGCAACAAAAGACCATTGAAGTTGCAATCACTTAAACGTGATATCGAGCAACAAATTTGAATTTCTAAATTATAAAAGAAAAATTGGCGTTGTGTTTAAATCAGAGAGAAATTTTAGAAACAAAAATTAGGTAACCTTCAAAAAATAAAACGTTAACGTCTTATCGATAAGACGCAGTCGCAGTGTTAAGCTTTTATACATGTCGGAAAAGGCACGCGCCTCGCGGGGACAGTAGCCGTAGGTCCCAAAATTAGTAGGGTGGCTATTCGTACATTGAAGTATCCCGATATCTCACTCCCTATGCTCCCATTTTAAGAAATAAAGAAAATTGGAAAAATAAATGTCCTTAGGAAACGCAATAAAAATGACAAGGACTAGAAGTTACGAATGATGAACCTTAATTTAAAACGGTTAGAACTTAACCTGCAAAATGGGAAATGATCTTCTTCCTGACTTTAGCGAAAAAGATGAAAAAAATTTCGATAATCAATGGAATTTGAAATGAAGTTAAAACATCCGAGTTTGGCGTTATGTTTAGTAGTCTTTGCTTTCTCACATTTACATTATCTCTAATTAGTCTCACAAATCTAACCGCGAAACGCATAATTTTTGGTTTATTTTTTTGACGTAGAGATGAATAAAGAACGAAAGGTGTCGAATCGAGAACTTTGAAAACCCTTTTTTTGAGTTTATATGTATAGAAATGAGAGGGATATTTAAGCAGTTTATTTAAATTTTAGAATTTCAACATTCCATCTCATTTCTTGTTGCATTTCGATTTTACTGCATATGACTTAAATAATTGCAGCGTATTTCTTAAATAGTCGCTGCCTATTCGACGAGCTAAGTCGACTAAGGGGTAGATGGTATCGGCCCGACAACCATGAACTGAAATTCAGGGCTCAAAATGGTCAAAAACAGAAGGGGAGGTCAGGCACATTTTTAGAGTTAAAATTTAAATATGCAAATAATAGCTCATTTAAAAGAGCTCGCGAGCTGAGTTGAAAGTCATCAAAATCAACTCTATCCGATCTGATTGGGGAAAGTTACGAAAAAACTAACCAAGCAAACTTATGGGAGTCGGTGAGGTGCTTGTCGGCACGCGCCTCGCGAAAGCCAATAGTTGCTGAGTTCTGCACTAGCAACAAACCCTATTTCTATTTTTCGGCCGTGGACATGAATGGTACTGGCTTCCACTGCAACGGAAAAAATCTCCGCGGAGACTATAGGTAAGGAGCTAAAACAAACGATTATAACTTTCTCCAAACATGTCAGATCGAGTTGACTTTGGTGTCATTCGACTCAGCTAAACGAGCTCTTTCGAATGAGCTATAATTTGCATATTCGAATTTCTTATCCACAAATATGTTGGTCCCCTCCTATGATTTCTCAATTTTCGGAGACTTGTATCTCGGTCCATGGTTGTCGAACAGATACCATTCACGCCTCATTCGACTCAGTTCGTCGAGCTGGGTCGAATAACGCGTTATTAGTGAATAGAGCCGTTTTTGATTATTTTGAATTTTTGAAAAATTTTCCGTTTTTGAATTATTTTTGATTATTTCGACTAAATATAATTTTAATCTAATATTTTAGCAAATAATTATTTTTTTCAAATTTGCCTACACAAATTTGTTGACTTATTATTATTTCCAAATGAATTTCAATCAATTGAATCTACCAATGGATCAGCCTGCTTTGGTGACAATTCAGCAGCAGGTTTTGTTAATTTTGTTTTTCTAATATAAATGTCGATTTATTTGTTAAGAGTTCAGACTTTGCTTCGACGCAAATAAATCCCAATATATATTTATATAGTATAAATAAGTTTACTTTGCTAAAAGGCCCTAAAATGGCCGTAGCACTCAGTCTTCAATTTTTTGTTTAGCTCCCAATAGAGTATAGGGATAAGCAGATATATAGCCACAAAGATTTAGCTACGTGTCTGGGAAAAATCAGAGATTGAAATTTCTGAACTCTTTCAGAGCTTACCTTCAATTCTAGGTCTCCTATCCTTTAGATTGATTTTCTATTGTTAATTCTCGTATTTTTGATATTTCCTCGCTACCCGTGTTCTCTTGGGGTTTCTTTTTTTTCTTAGAGTACAGAATGACGTTCATTTTGTCATTTAGTTATTATTATTACATTTTGTAGAATTAATCTATTTTGTTAAGTTTTCCCTTAAAAAATTCAATTTTGACGAAAATTTTCCTTAAAAATAGGCTAGAAAATCAAAGAAGAATGATAAATAAAAAAATAAATTTTCCAACAGAATTATTCTCCGAATTAATTAATTTTTTCCCTTTTAATCCAAAATGGTCAAAAATTAGAGTTTCTAAAATTTTTGATATTTTTGTGTTTAAAATTCAAAGAAAACTGTTAATTCAGATAAAATCCGTAAAAAAATTTTAAATAAAATATAAATAAATATTTTTAGTATAAGGCCGAAGTATCTGGATTTATTACTCTGAATATTGCTATTCTCAATGCGATGGAAACTTATGCTTGGCGTGTTAATAAGGGACACTTGCCGCATTCAAATGCTCGTTTGACTGACGTTTATGAGCTTGTTATTCTCGCAAGTAATGAGGATAATATGGGTGCACTGGCTCATGTAATTTTTATTCATTTTTGCTTTTCTTTTAACTATCCTTCCACTAGATAGTAGGATCTAGCTGATACAAAAAACTTCCCGATTTTTTAAAACCCTATATTTTGAAGTGTAAATTCCAAACAAAATTTTAATTCCCATTTTCGGGATTGGGTCAGTAAACCTCTGATAGTTTAAGTTCTTTTTGTTATATTTAAAATTTATATTTTTAGCAACTGAATATTCAGCATACGCTGCCTAATAACAAGCCGTGGAAGGAGCTGCAACCTCTTTCGCTAAAGGATGAGGTATTTTTATATTTTTAAATGAATGTTAACATAAAAATTTAATTTTTCAGTTGAAAGAAGACTTTAATGACCGTCGTCTTTACCTGCTTACAGTTTTTGAGGCTTGTTCATTGATTGTTCGAGACACACCCGATTTCAACTTTGCTATTTTCAACAAATGGATTGCTTTTGTTAAATGTAAATAAATTTTTGATTTTCAAATTAAAATTTATTTCTCAATTTTTAGACACTCACAATCTTTTGTCGAAAGTTAAGACTTACTTGGAGGCTGCAATGGTGAGGAACCGGGACGAGGAGGAGGAGGCGACTGATTAATTCAAAGTTTGGGACATTTGTTTGGTTGGGTGTTAAAGAATATTTCTGACGTTTTTGAGCATTTTTGTTGATTTAATTTATTTTTAAAATTTATATGCTCATTTGTTGAAAATAAAATTTTTGGATTGTTAAATTTTTTAAATATTGTTTTGTAAACAAAAATATTTTTTGGTTTTTCAATTTTCGTTTAATTTCTTTTCAACTAAAAACAAAATGTTGATTTAGCAATCGAAAATCTGTTGACTCGCTCCAAGTTTTGTATAACTTCCTCGATTCCTCTGTTCCAGCGGACTTCGAGGTTTGATGACATTGGAAAGAAGAACTAATCTCTCGTTGATTTCACTCATTTAATATTGCCACAAAGAAAATTGAGTGACCGGTTCCTTCTCATCCTTGAAAAATACTTCTCATGATTCTAATTTTCTTCTCATACTATCAAAAAAGATTAAAAGGAGATCTTAGACTACAAAATAATTTATAGAAAGTCAGGTGTGTGCATAAGTTCCTTTGTGTGTACTTGACAGTGTTATTGTTTCAAGTCTTGGATCAATAATCTCTAAAATCTCGATCTTGAAATATTTCGAAATCTTTTAAATTTTTATCGAGAGTCCCGAATCGATAATCTCGAAAACCCCCAATAAAAATATACATATACATAGTTCTCTTGAAAAGAAAAAATGTAAAGTTTATGACCGCTTAATATTTTTCTTTTTCATTTTTAATATGACCTTTCTCTCTCTCTCATAAATATGTATATTCAAATATAGAAAGGTCAATTGTTAAAGTATATTCATTAAATTAGAAGAATATTTCCATAAATATATCCAAAAATTTGTCTAGGCAAATAAATGTGTTTTTAATTGAAATATTTTTCATTTTTTAAAATATTTTAATGCCTTCTATAATTCGTCATTGGTCTCCAACAAAATCCACTAATAATTTCGATAATTATATTAATTGCGGCCAAATTCGAAAATTAAATAGCTATATTAATTTTCAAATAATTAACGAAGAATATTTTAAAAGGTTAAAATATTTTAAAGGTTTAAAAATTATTAAAAAATTTCTTTTAAAGTTTTCATTCTTCCCGAACAATTTCTTTGGATTTTGAGTCAGAATCGACTTCTAATAATTCTTTATTTTTAGAACAAAACAAATTGGTAATTAATTTTTATTAAATTAATATATTATCGGACATTATTAAAAGAGACACCATTGAAGTGAAATAATCGTTTTCTTATATCCAGATCTTGATTTTTCCCTCGACTCAAGGATCTTGATTTGGTCGAGGTCCTCACCTAAATCAATCCTCACCTACAAGGTCAAGTTTTTTTTTTGAAAATCTCGATCTCTAGAGTGTACCTTAAATTGGGGGGATATCATTTAGTTCCTACCACTCAATGGTCAACCAAATTTAAAAATGTATCGTAAATCGAGGTGTATTTAATATTGGTTGTAGTATATTATAGAGAGGTCCAACTAAATAATTTTTTAATATTATTGAGAAAACCACTAGCCTTTATTAAGAAACCTCTATTAAGACCAAATAAAAGCTCAATTGTTTAATTATTTACTACCTTTCATTAGAAAAATAATATAGTAAAAGATATAATATAAAGATAAAAAAAAGACAGGAAATGTGACCTTCGTTTTTTGAGAGGCCTTGGCACGATGTGGTTTTTTGTCATAAATATTATTATTTTATATTACTCTTATTATTTAAAATATTTTCTCTGAATATTTTATATTATTTGCAAATTTTTGAGCAATTTGTATTAAAATATAATGTCCGATTTTAAGAGCGGAAATTTAAA